ATATTCTGGATCATATGGCTGTGTGGAAGGGCCCTCAGGAAGGATTGCTGGCCTGTGTGCAACCCAGCTGATACATTTGAAACCGTTATAACGTTTTTATTTATTCCTGTTCACTGTTCTCTCCAAGGTTTTCTCTGTGCCTACAACCAATTTGAAGAACTGGTCCTTCTTGTAACTGCTCTTTGTTTTTATTTATGACAGGCTTGCTTCAAATTAGCAAATCTGGAATGGATTCCTTGTTGACACAGTTGTTCCTGTGGAACTAGGTTGTGCTCACAAGTATATACATGTGAGTGAAAAGAGTGGTGTCAATGTCAATGTTCCATTAAATATTCCATAGTTTTGTACTCATGTATAAATTGGCCTATGTATAAGCTTTTTTAGTATCCTTAATTATAGAGAACTCAGGCTGGATCTACACTGCCCTATATCCCAGGATCTGATCCCAGATTATCTGCTTATCCTACATTATCTAGTAGTGGAGACTCATATAATCCAGTTCAAAGCAGATAACCTTGGACCAGATCTTGGGATATAGGGCACTGTAGATCCAGTCATAGCCTCAGATGAACGAATAAGGCTAAATCTAAAGGTAAAGGTTTCCCCGATAATAAGTCTAGACGTGTCCAACTCTGGGGGGTGGTGCTCATCTCCATTTCTAAGCCGAAGAGCCAGCATTGTCCATAGACACCTCTAAGTTCATGGGGCCAGCATGACTGCATGGAGTGCCGTTACCTTCCTGCCGAAGCGGGCCCTTCCAGACAGGCCCTATATCCCAGGATCTGACCCTAGGTCTTCTGTTTATCCCAGATTACCTGGTACTGCAGACTCATATAAGTCTAGTCATTAAGTCTAGTCATGTCCAACTCTGGAGGCTGGTGCTCATATCCATTTCTAAACCGAAGCGCTGGTGTTGTCGGTAGACACCTCCAAGGTCATGTGGCCGGCATGACTGCATGGAGCACTGTTACCTTCCTGCCGGAGCAGTACCTATTGATCTACTCACATTTGCATGTTTTTGAACTGCTAGGTTGGCAGAAGCCAGGTCTAACAACGGGACCTCACCTTGTCCCGCCGATTCGAATCGCCAACCTTCCGGTCAGCAAGTTATACAGTTTAGCAGTTTAACCCGCAGTGTTCAGCAGTGGAACTCTCTGCTCCAGAGTGTGGTGGAGGCTCCTTCTTTGGAGGCTTTTAAACAGAGCCTGGAAGGCCATCTGTCGGGGGTGCAATTTTTCCCGCTTCTTGGATGGCCCATGAGGTCTCTTCCGATTCTATGATTCTTATTCCAGGTAATATAACATTGTTAAAATGTTGTGGTGTTATAATATTGTTACTAATGCATAGGGTGTGTGTGTGTGTGGGAGGAGGGTAACCCATTCTTGGAAAAGTCAATTATCAGCAGCACCCAGGAGTGCGAGCCTTGTACCTACTTAACGTGTGGTTTCCTAGTTGTACTCTTGTCACTGCGTTGTATAATACATTACCAACCACAATTGCTTTCTCAAAATGACAGGATAATGTTCATATGCTGCTTGATTTTTCTCTCTCTCGCTTTCTATGTGCTCAAACTTTTTGTATCAACACTATTATCAAAATTGCCGTACTGCATGTCACATGGGCATTGGTTTCAGTTAGGATAAAAATTACCATATTTTTGGCTTCTGTTTTAGCATCAAATTATTCTAATTAATGCACCTAATAAAGCTCAGGAGATCTGAATAACCTATAGAGAAGCTTTTGCATATGCAAATTGTGGATACCTAGCTGAGATTCTAGAAGAGAACAAAAACATTGCAAAGCACATCTAACATGCAATGTACCATACAGGTGGTCCATTTGGATACAGGGGAGGTGAGCACATGTAACCGAAATTGATGGAGATTATAATGTATTTGACTTTGAATGGATTACATCTGTTGTTCTAAATCAGGTTTTCATTGTTATCTTACACCTCTGGGCCCTTCCAGACAGGCCCTATATCCCAGGATCTGATCCCAGGTCTTCTGTTTATCCCAGATTATCTGGTAGTGCAGACTCATATAAAAGGTAAAGGTTTACCCCTAACATTAAGTCTAGTCGTGTCCGACTCTGGAGGTTGGTGCTCATCTCCATTTCTAAACCGAAGCGCTGGTGTTGTCGGTAGACACCTCCAAGGTCATTTATTTACTTTACTTGTATACCGCTCTTCTCAGCCATTAGGCGACTCAGAGCGGTTAACAACCAGTATCAGCAATACAGTACAAAATCATGATAATTTAAAACAGTAATATCAATCAATTAACATCAACATCAATATAACAGTACAGAAAACAACAATCCATCACGTCTCYTCAATAGAATCAGCATCCGATCTTGTTGTCCATTAATCCATATTCCAGTAATCAATCAATTGTACTGCTTAGTTGAAAGCCTGTTCGAAGAGCCATTAAAATGATGTGATTTTGGTTACAGATTTCTTTGTGCAGTGCTATCAGTATGGAATTACCAAAGGCAATGCCTCYCCAGATTTTGGACATGATAGAATAGTGAATTACTCATCAATATGTTTCTTTGAAAAATGCTTGTTAGATCATTTCGTTTTGTTTGGGTGGCTGCTAAGGGATACCCAAAACGGGTAGAAACCAGTTTTCCTTCGTGTCTGGATAAGGAAGAAATTATGTAGGTMTGTTTTTACAAAGAGAGATTGCAGTTTGAGTCTGAGACTCAAAGTTGAGCCAAGGCTAAGTGATCATTTTAGGGTGTTGGTTCTCTTCCTGCAGTAGTGGTTCTCATCCCTTCTTTGGTCAAACACTTCCTTGTGCTTGTATATAATCTTCAAAGTAGCTGAAACTGAAGTGTGTGCGTGTGCGTGCACAAGTAGTTCATGGACCTTCTGAAGTCATGTGGCTGGCATGACTGCATGGAGCACCYTTACCTTCCTGCCGGAGCAGTACCTATTAATATACTCACATTCTGGGCACCACAATTGAAGAGAGATATTGACAAACTGGAATGTGTCCAGAGGAGGGCAACTAAATTGGCCTGGAGAACAAGCCCTATGAAGAGCAGCTTAAAGAGCTGGGCATGTTTAGCCTGAAGAAGAGAAGGCTGAGAGGAGACATGATAGCCATGTATAAATATGTGAGAGGAAGTCACAGGGAGGAGGGAGCAAGCTTGTTTTCTGCTTCCCTGGAGACTAGGACACGGAACAATGGCTTCAAACTACAAGAAAGGAGATTCCATCTGAACATTAGGAAGAACTTCCTAACTGTAGGAGCTGTTCAGCAATGGAACTCTCTGCCCCGGAGTGTGGTGGAGGCTCCTTCTTTGGAGGCTTTTAAACAGAGGCTGGATGGCCATCTGTCAGGGGTGCTTAGAATGCAATATTCCTGCTTCTTGGCAGGGGGTTGGACTAGATGGCCCATGAGGTCTCTTCCAACTCTATGATTCTATTATTCTATTTGAATGTTTTCAAACTGCTAGGTTGACAAGAGCTAGGGCTGACAGCGGAATCTTACGTCACTCCCCGGATTCGAACTTGTGACCTTTCGGTCAACAAGTTTAGCAGCTCAGCGGTTTAACCCATTGCACCACTGGGGACTCATATAATCCATCTTAAAGCAGAAAACCTGGGATCAGATCCTGGGATATTGGGACTGTCTGGAAGGGCCCTTAGTTTACACTATGACCAGGCATTTGCTTAATTGAATAGCGGCAATTGGAAAAAAGACTTAGGATATTTACGACATGGAATGTGCCTATACTTGGATTTGGTTTTACCAGCATGTAAAATCTACTGTCTAATGAATTGTATAATGTGTTTTAATATTTTTTAGTGCTTTAATTCTACTTCGAATTGATAGCATCATATGGTGCTTGTGTGAGGCTGCCCTGAGACCCCCTTTGGGGGGAGAAGGGCAGGGTAAAAGTGCATGAAATAAAATATGTGTATAATCTATTTTGGGGAAATGCAGATTTATTTTCCTCTCTTCCCAAGAACAAACACGACCTTTTTCACATTTGGAAAAATAATTATAAGTAATCCAAAAAATACAGACAACATATTTATTTAAAAATTTTACTATATATAATATTTATTATCAATCCACAGGATAGCTTGATTGCTACATAAAATTTATTAAAAGCTATTTCACCTTTACAAATTGTAAAAAAAAAGAAAGAGAGAGAGCAAAGAAAGAAAATGTGCCACAAGATGTGAAATTTGCTGACAACCAAGATACTGAATTGTAAAATTATAAATTTGCTGTAGAAAAGATAAAAAACCTGAAACAATTATATTCACTTTAGATTTTTCTTTTACTTTGAATAAAATATTCCACTGTATAAAAAATAAAAAGCTTACTCCGGTTAGAATTAGAGTAATTTCTTTTCCTTCAAAACCTGGGAATTTGCATAATATATCTGTAATAAAATTTCTTCTATTGTACCACACAGCTTTCAAGCATAGCAGATTAGACACATATAAGACAAGCACTCTTAAAAACAATCTCTGAAATGTACATGGGAAGATTCTCGCCTTCCTATTTAATTCATTTGCCCACAGTCCAAGGCCACATTAGCCAGAAGAGCCCTGGAAACGGACAAAGTTCGGAGCAGGAGGAAGATCTTTTAAGTGTGCCATTATTTGGAGCAAGATAATGAAAGGCCTTTGCTTTTCTCTTTTTTTGCAAGTGCTTTTAATAAGGTGCAAAAGCAGACTGCAATATTGCTAGTACTGCACTATGTACATATATTCACAATACATTCTGGAAAAAAATTAATCCAGCTAGTTCACATTTTTCTGTCTTCCGTTCCAAAGGTTGTCATTTCCATGATGGCCGTGACTCCGTTTTGGGGGGCTGTCGGGCGTCACCATGACGTTCCGGAACGGACCCCTGTCGGCCTTCATTCCCTGGGCTGCAACCTTGGAACTCGGACCGGCTTCACGTCTACATTCTGGAGTCCTGAGTTTAAAACGCTCCAGCGCTGGAGGTTGGACACAGTAATCTTCTGCATTAGCAAGGCTTTTTCCTTCAATCCGTCGAATGTACGTTAAAGTGAGTTCCTCAAAGCCATGATACAGAATTCGCCGAGAACCTAACGGTTCGTGGCTTAGCTGCTCTTGACTCTCGACTGAGTGATATCTGAAGTTTTCTTGATGACGCTTGCCCGGTTCTCGTGATCCTGCGGCCTGCTGCTGAAACTGGTGGAAGCCGAACATACTATTTGTGAGAGAGGAAGCTCTGGGAAAGAAGGCCATGAGCTGTTGTAAGGCAGTGGGCGGCTTTCTTCCTTGATGGTCACCTGGAGGTCAGGCTTATTAGAAGTCACAAAAGTAGCCATACCGGGAAGTGGGTACGGGGAGTTCCTCATCCCCAAGTTGCTATAGTATTGCTTGTTGCCAACGTTTTTCTTTTTCCACTGAGCTTGACCCTGTGGAGAAAAGACAATCCATTCGTCAATTTTGCTAACACCACATACAGCAGACCTTCTCATCAATGCAATTGTCTCTAAAAATGTTTGTATTATGAGGACTGAATGAAAAGTAATGCCTCCACCTTCGTTACTTGGGGTTGGATGGGAATATTTTAATAAATCAAATGCAGAAATAATCCTTAGAATGTGCCCTTTAACTAACACTATTTACTTTTCCACATAATCACCAGACAATTGGGTACATTTTTGCCAATGATGAAAAAGTTTTCTGAAGCCATCACGGAAGAAGTCGACACTCTGTTTCCGCAACCAGCGCCTCACAGTTCTCTCAACATCTTCATCAGAAGAAGCATAATGATGTCTCTGTAGATCAGTGGTTCTCAACCTGGGGTCCCCAGATGTTTTTGGCCTTTAACTCCCAGAAATCCTAACAGCTGGTAAACTGGCTGGGATTTCTGGGAATTGTAGGCCAGAAACATCTGGGGACCCCAGGATGAGAACCACTGCCATAGATCTTCTTTCATTATTGGGAACAGATGGAAGTCAGKCGGTGCTAAATCTGGACTGTATGGAGGATGGCATACAGTGGTAAGATCCAGTCTCTGAAGTTCTGCTGCCAACCTTTTGCTTGTGAAACTCAGTGGTTGCTYTCACAAGATGTCCAACTCTTTGTTTGCCACGCAAGTCAGATGTTCCCACCTCAACATTTTTAAATTTACTRGCCCAACGAAGCACCATACTCACATCAACACAATAACCATAAACAGCTTGCATTCTCTGATTAATCTCCTTTGGAGTGACACCTTCTGCTGTCAAGAATTCAATGACTGCACATTGCTTAAGTCACATTGACCAACCATCTGCGCAAGCTTCCATACTTTGCACTTTAACTACACAACCATTCAATGCTAAGGCTTCCTGCCAAAATGGAACTGTGGAGGAGAGTCTACTGAACAAGCCAGTACCTGCCGCATACCAGTACTGCCATCTGTTGGGAAATTATGAAGGTGGAGGCATTACTTTTCATTCAACCCTCGTAATATGTAGTGAACTACAAACATTTATGTCCAGTATTCTACACCATCTACTTTGTTACTTGATTAAGTAACCTTTCCTAGCCTGAACTCCACTTCCAACCTAATGAAAATGTCCTAGCAAAACCAGATCTCCTTCTCCCCATGTAAATAATGCCCAGTAAGGTAGGCAAGTAGTTATGATTATGGCAATAACTGTGAACACCAAACTGCACCTAGATTTACTAATCTGAAACTGTTCCCACTCATGATAGCTACTGAGTGACGACTGTGACACTATTCCCATGATTCTGTTAACTAAGAAAATACAGCCCAACCAATGCGTAAAATACACACATGCAGGTAAGTGCATCAAAACAACAACATAAAGCAGGGGTCCTCAAACTTTTTAAACAGAGGGCCAAGTCACAGTCCCTCAAACTGTTGGAGGGTCAGATTATAATTTGAAAAAAATATGAATGAATTCCAATGCACACTGCACATATCTTATTTGTAGTGCAAAAAACACTTTAAAACAATGCAGTAATTAATATGAAGAACAATTTTAACAAATATAAACTAAACATCCTCACTCCCTCTGAGGATGCTTGCCATAGATGCAGGCAAAACGTCAGGAGAAAAATTGCCTCCAGAACATGGCCATATAGCCCGGAAACACCTACAACAACCCAAACTTATTAGTATTTCAATGGAAAGTGTGGGCCTGCTTTTGACTGATGAGATAGGATTGTTGTTGTTGTTGTTGTTGTTGTTGTTGTTGTTGTTGTGTGCTTTCAAGTTGTTTCAGACTTAGGTTGACCCTCAGCTAGGGCCGGGTAAATGACCGGCCCTCGGCCATATCCAGCCCCCAGGCCATAGTTTGAGGACCCCTGACATAAAGTATAAAACCTATCTTTACAACCAATGAGGAAAACCAAAAAATTAATGGTAGCATTACTATATATCCGTGGTCCCCATCCTTTGGTCCTCCAGTGTTTTGGACTTTAAGTCCCAGAAATCACAGCCAGCTTAGCAGCTGTTGGAATTGTGGGAGCTGAAGTCCAAAACACCTGGAGGATCAAAGATTGGGAACCACTGCTATATATCAAGCTTCTGACAAAAAGGCCAGTGTCATTAATTTTACTTGGCTCACAGTTGGAGGACTTTGCCTACTCCTCCCATATATGCCCATATGTAACCTCACCTCTTTATTTGCATAACCTTTTCTACATTTTATTTCTTAGTGTAATAAAGGAGCGTCCCATCTTCCTTCTATGTGTGTAACACACATGAGATGTAGTCCTATACGGTTCAGCATAGTGTAGTAGTTCTGCATGAAAACTTCTGCTTGGCCAGATGATATCCAGGAGTTTCCCATTTCCTCCAATAATGGATTAGCTGTGTTTCTTTTTTCCATGCCATACATCAGAAAGGCTGCACATGGGAGGATTACTAAACAAGGCGGTACTGGATACTTACTTACACAATGGGATAAAATGTATGTACAGTGGCATAATGAAAGCTCCTCCCTGGAAGCTTTTAAACAGAGGCTGGATGGCTATCTGTCAGGGTTGTTCTTTTCCTCCATGACAGGGAGTTGGACTAGATGGCCCATGTGGTCTCTTCCAACTCTATTATCCTTTGATTCCAAGATTGGGTCAGTCTGTGCCATCTCAGTTTTGGATCTTATTTCTACAGGTCCCAGTAGCAAGGGATTAAGCCCAAACTACATGCGATACAACCTATGGTTTTAAACATGTCAAGTCTGGATTTTATTTCACTATTCAAAGGACCTACTCAAGATAATGAGCCTATTTTGGGAGCAGGGGTCACATCTTCAATGCACTTGAAAAGTCTAAGATTAAAATCCAGATCAAAATTAGGATAACTTTCAGAATTTCCCATCTAGCATGGCTGCTTCTCTTGTGTCACTTTGCTTTAAGCTGCCAAAAAATATTTGGCTGTGTTTTGTTTTCAATCCATGTCTGGCTTTATTCTCTTCTTCATTCTACAGAACCCAAAATACTTCAATTTAATGTATACACTCAGAAGCACACACACCAATGAATATGACCATTCTCTTCTGAGAAGTGGCAGAAGCAGGGAAAGGTTTGTCCCATAGTCTGATGCAAAATGATAACATCGGCCTCTGGTAGTCTGAAGGGGCAATGGCTGGACAAACCAGAGGGAGAGGGCCTTCTCGGTGGTGGCCCCCAAACTCTGGAACTCACTTCCCAAGGACCTCAGACATGCCCCAACTTTGGCAGTCTTTAGGAGCCTGAAAACGTGGTTGCTCCAGTGTGCCTTCCCAGAATAAGGAAAACTCTCAGCAATATGCCCTCAAAATGCACTTTACCACTGATTTAGGACTGACTGCGTTCCTTCATCTCTCTTTAAAAAACCCTATCCCAGTTATATCCTACCATGTTCATGCCCAGTATTATTTTTTAAATTTTAAATTATTACATTTGGCCCGGCCGTAGGTTTTTTTAAATGCTTGTGTGTTACTGTTATTGTTTATTTTTGGTTTATGTGATTTATATTAGTTGTTTTGTATTGATTGGTTTTGTTATTGCCTTTGTTTACTGATGTACTGTGGGCTTGGCCTCATGTAAGCCGCACCGAGTCCCTTGGGGAGATGGTAGCGGGGTATAAATAAAGTTTTATTTTATTATTATGATCATAAACCTATTAATTTATTGATTTACTTTATTTGTATACCATCTTTCTCAGCCCATAGGCAACTCAAGGTGGTTAACAGGGCAAAATTCAATGCTTACAATGTCATAAATACAATTAAAAACATAAAATATAATAAAAACTAAACAAATCAATAAAATATGAATTCATAGTGTCTCCTTGTTAAAAACGTTGTCCGGACTCATTGTCTAGTCCAGGGATCCTCAAACTAAGGCCCAGGGGCCGGATACGGCCCTCCGAGATAATTTACCCGGCCCTTGCTCAGGGTCACCCTACGTCTGAAACGAATTGAAAGCACACAACAACAACAACAACAACGATCCTATCTCATCAGCCAAAAGCAGGCCCACATTTCCCATGAAATACTAATAAGTTTATATTTGTTAAAATTGTTCTTCATTTTAATTATTGTATTGTTTTAAGTGTTTTTTGCACTACAAATAAGATATGTGCAGTGTGCATAGGAATTCATTTGTTTTTTTTTTCAAATTATAATCCGGCCCTCCAACAGTTTGAGGGACTGTGACCTGGCCCTCTGTTTAAAAAGTTTGAGGACCCCTGGTATAGTCTGTTTCCATTTTCCTGTGTCAGTTACTCTGCATTTGCAAACGCTTGTTCAAAAAGCCATGTCTTGACTTTTTTCTGGAATGTTAAAAGGGAGGTGGTCGATCTAATATCTATAGGAAGGGTGTTCCACAGCCGAGGAGCCACTACCGAGAGCATTTTAACTGGAAGCAGGTGAGAACCTGCTCCACGGCATCCACATGATGCTCAAAGCCTTTCCATCTCCAGTGCACAGCTAGGTCACTTAGCATGTTTTTGCCCCGAGTTAGGTTTACAGTGAGAGATTGCTCCAGATCTTCCTGAAGCCTTTGAATGGCCCCGTACTTCATGGCACTGTGAACAGCTCAGCTGATTATGTACTGGAATTATCCCCACTGTTCACATGGCCATCCCACTTTCACCAAGCTGTGCAGCAACCAGAGATGGGGGATTGCACATACTTTTGTCGTCCTGTCACTGTTGTAGCTGTGGTCTGGACTTTGTCCTGCCAACTCAGGCTAGCAAAATAATCTGGAGGAAGGCAATGATTCAACCACTGGGACCAGTCTGGGGTAATGCATTCAAAACCAGTCCCAGGGTTTTTTTTTTTACATGTGTAGATGCACTCATTGTGCCCAGGTGCATTAAAAACTATCAAGAGTTTGCTAATAATTTGGCTAGACTTCACAAAATGGGAGGGGGGGATGCCCTGCAATCCCCCCAAACTAGTACAAAGTTACAAATAAAAATAAGAAACGGAAACTATATAGAAAATGCCTTCACCACCACCTTGGTTTTTTTTCCCTTCATGCAAGACATAAATGGACAAAAATACTTTTCATCTCACAGGTAACAAATGTGTAAGCAGCTTTCAATCATGGTTAGGAGAACTTCCTGCCATTGTGTTCAACCACATATGAACTCAGGAAATCCAAAAGTGGCAGCTTGTGACCAAGATATGGCAAACAAAGAAGCTGTTACTAATGCATACTCCTACTGCGGTGGTTATGGTATATGCTCGAAATGTGCTCGACTTCTTGCTCATTTGGGAGGTTTATTTGCCCAGTAAGTCTTTACTGTCAATCTTCATAAGGCAATGAAATTCCATATGCGATTATCCTAAAGATTGTATAAAAATGCAGGAATAGTGTTTCTGCAGAAGTGCAGGAGAAACAAGCTGAGGTAGAAAATATATATGGCAGCACAACTATGTCTTGTGCAGATATTCTAAAACTGTCCTGTACCCATAATAATAACAATAACACTTTCTTTCTAACTTTATCATGGGGTGTCTGCACCCTACACCACTGGAGAAACTACACTGTCTAGCCGGTATCGCACCACCTGACATCTGCCAGGAAGTAGCAGCCAATAGTGAAAGGACCCAAGGCAGTGACATCTCCAGCTCATCCCTTGTTTGGGTATCAGCCAGCATGTCAATGACTTAAATCACGAAATAGTTTTCTAAGATCTATAGAGACACTCGCTGAACACCCCAGCAAGCGGGAGTCCAAAAGTGGCAGGCTCAAATCCAGAATCTCAATCAATGGCTGATACCAAATGAGACTCCCCCCTGGGCACACAGAAAACTGGGCGACTTGGAAGACACTGAACAGACTGCGCTCTGGCACCATGAGATGCAGAGCCAATCTTAAGAAATGGGGCTACGAAGTGGAATCCATGACATGCGAGTGTGGAGAAGAACAAACCACTGACCACCTGCTGCACTGCAACCTGAGCCCTGCCACATGCACAATGGAGGACCTTCTTGCGGCAACACCAGAGGCACTCCAAGTGGCCAGATACTGGTCAAAGGACATTTAATCAACTACCAAGCTATGTCTGGTTGCTCCTGACACGATAAATAAATAAATAAATAAATAAATAATTCTAACCTACCCTCTCTCCCTGAAGGGACTCAGGATGGTTTCCAAAGTACTGAGTTTTGCATAAGGAGGCAAGCACAGAAGATACTAGTCTTAACTTATACTGGTCATGAGTGATACAGCAAGATCCAGACAGCAAAATGCAGGAGCTAAAAAGGAGGACCTGTCCAGCAATACTGAAAATATGTACTAGTTCCATGTCTAAATATGGATAGTAAGACAAACAATTCCCTTGAATTGACACCAGGGCCCTTACACTGCGGTGTAGGTTTTGAAGTGGAGATCATTATCATAACCACATCTGTATTCAAAAACCAGTTCTTGCAATTTCTATCTCTCGCCCTTTCAAGACCAAGGAATCCCTATATATTAACTGCTCACAACAATGCATTTTACTTTCCTCCCTCCAGCTACAGTGAAGATCACAGTGAAATACAAAACAGGGAAATATGAGGATTGGTATTGATTTGGGAATACAATAATATGATTGTTAAGTTGAAGAGGGTTCTAGCATGGCTGGATTTGTAAATGGTAATGCCTAGAATCTAGATTTTATCTCTTTTCTGGAAAATGTTGTTGTTGCATGCCTTCAAGTTGTTCCCACTTATGTTGACCTAACGTGAATCTATCTCAGGGTTTTCTTGGCAAGATGTGTTCAGAGGGGTTTGCCACCATCACCTCCTTCTAAGGCTGAGAGACTTGCCAAGGTTACAAAGTGGTTTTCCATGGCTGAGTAATGATTTGAATTCTAGTCTCCCAGACTCCTAGTCCAATGTTTGGTTTAGGCCCAGCCTACTTGAGGGACCACATCTCCTTCTACAAGTCCACACGAGCCCTGAGAGCATCAGAAGAGGCCCTTCTCTTGGTCCCACCATCGTCACAAGTGTGCTTGGTGGGAACGGGTGAGAAGGCCTTCTCAGTGGTGGCCCCGTGCCTCTGGAACTCCTTTCCTAGAGAGGTGTGATCAGCCCCCTCCTTGCTGGTTTTTCGATTTCCAAGTAAGACCTTCCTGTGGAGCCAGGCCTTCCCAGATAAATTATAATAGGTAATGACCAATTAGCAGCTAGTAATACCTCCCTCTTAAATGCTATATTGAACCTAGCAATGTGACATGGCCCAATGACAATGGAGTCTTTTTAGCATCTTGGATTTACTTTGTTTATTTATTTATTTACTTACTTACTATATTTATATACCGCCATTCTCAGCCCACAGGCGACTCAGGGCGGTTTACAGTCGGCAACAATTCAATGCCCCCAAAACCATAAAACACAATTTAAAACATTAACATAAATATAAAACCACAGACTAGGAGATCATTAGCATCTCCTAGTTAAAAATTTGTCCAGTCACATTATCCAGTAGTTACATTTTCCTATGTCTGTTATACTGCATTTGCAAACGCTTGTTCAAAAAGCCAAGGCTTGATTTTTTTTTGGAAGGTTAAAAGTGAAGTGGTCGATCTGATATCCCAAGGGAGGATGTTCCATAGCTGAGGGGCCACCACTGAGAAGGCCTTGTCTCTCGTCCCCGCCAGATGTATTTGTGACAAAGGTGGGATCAAGAGCAGGGCCTCCCCAGACAATCTTAAAGTCCTGGAAGATTCATAAGGAAAGATGCATTTGGACAGGTAAGTTGAGCCAGAACTGTTTAGGGCTTTGCGAATAACCTCAGTGGTCTGAGGTTAGGGAATTTTTTATGGTATATGTTGTAAGTTATTAATTTATTGTTTATGATTTAGGTAACTGGGTATTTGTGTTAGTTGTTTAATTATGCTGAATGTGTATTTTATGTAAATTTGTTTTAATCCACTGCACGGCACTTTGAATCCCACCCATGGCAGAAAAGTGGGATAAAAATGAATAAATAATAATAATAATAATAACAACAACAACAACAACAACAACAACCAATGCAGAAGCTTTGGCAGCAAATACTTTCCATTGGGCAAGTGTGGTATTGGGATCCCTTATTCCACACTTGCTCAAGAGAAAGTATCTGCTGCCAACGCTACTGCAAGGTCCCCCTTTCCCTGGCTTTCTCATATGCAAATACTACCTGCTGCACTGGCAATGGGGCATGAAAATGCTTCCTGATGACTGCTTTTCTGTATTTTGCTTTATTGGTTCTGCATCATTCAGCTGAAACACAACTCCTGCAACTATTGGCTGAAATATAATGTTTCGTCACATACTTTCCATGCAGACCAGCAAGACTTCATGGTTAAGCCCCATCGCTAGGTGCCTTCCCAGGGTGCTGCTGCCGTCAGCATAAGTACACAGAGCTTGGAAATTTTATATTTTTCAGCTACAAAATTCTGGGGAATTCTGAGAGTCATAGTCCAAAACTGCAGAACTTCAGAGGTCTGTGAAAACATGCTTCCCAATTTAGTCAACCAGGAGGAAATCTGCTGCAGGCTCTTTTCTATTAGTAGTTTTAAAAATATGACTGCATCATCAACCTTTTAGTGTCTGAATCATCAAGTTTTTAGTGATAATCTCATCTTAACCTTGTTGTAGGCAACCTTGTCAAATGAAAGGCGGGATATAAATTAATTAAATAAGAAAAAAATAAAGAGACAACAAGAACATAAAACGGATAAACAAAAGCATATCAAGGGTGATCAAAACCTAAAGAAAACATGAGGCATTTCGTATTCTTCTGCTTACCTGTGCATTTTCTTCATCGCTTGGGATGCTATCTGTAGTTTCACTTTCTGTGGAGAGAAAGGAAAACAAAAATATGAATATACGCCGAACATTCAAATCATGAGCGTACAGCTTCTTTGAACCAGACAGCTGCCTCAAGCATTGGTTGGGGTGGGGAAGAAGCCAGCTATGCTTCCCTACACATACACACACATAGACATGCCTACAGGAGTGTACATGTTCCAGCATGTAAGTGTGGTGAGGCTTAAGCCTTCCTTGCCTGCCCACTTACTTCGAGCAATCATTGGGTTTTGGCAGAGATCACTTTTCTAGTGATCTTTGCCACTGAGACTACTGCTTGAAAACACCTGCCTAAAGGTGCATCTACATGGAAGAATTAAAGCAGCTTGACACTATTTTAACTGCCATGTCTCAATGCTATGGAACCATAGGACTTGTAGTTTTACTGGGTCTTTTGCTTTCTCTGTCAAAGAGAGCAGATGCATCGCCAAACTACAGCTCCCAGAATCCCACAGCACTGAGCCATAGCAGTTAAAGTGGTGTCAAACTGCATTAATTCTAGAGCATAGATGTATCTACTTATTTATTTACGACATTTCTATGCCGTCCTTCTCACCCCGAAGGGGACTCAGAGCAGCTTACGAGTAAGATGTAAATACAATATATTATATTATTACCATAGCCCAAATATTTGTATTATATATTGCTATATTGTACTATACAATTATACTGTAATATTATTAGTAATATTACATGTAATATAAAATATATAATTATAATATTGTATTATTATTTAAGGTAAAGGTAAAGTTTTTCCCTGGACATTAAGTCTAGTAGTGTCCAACTCTAGGGTGTGGTGCTCATCTCAGTTTCTAAGCTGAAGAGCCAGCATTGTCCGGAGACACCTCTAAGGTCATGTGGCCGGCATGACTGCATGGAGCGCCCTTACCTTCCTGCTGGAGCAGAACTTATTGATCTACTCATATTTGCATGTTTTTGAACTGCTAGGTTGGCAGAAGCTGGGGCTGACAGTGGAAGATCACACCGCTCCCCGGATTCGAACCTCTGATCTTTTGGTCAACAAGCTAGCAGCTCAGTGGTTTAAAGCAGCTCAGTGGTTTAACCCACTGCACCACCAGGGGCTACCTGTATTATTATTATTATTATTATTATTATTAGTAGTAGTAGTAGTAGTAGTAGTAGTAGTATTATATTAGTAGTATTTTAATAGTATTGTTATTAGTAGTATTATATTGTATTACATTATAATATTATCAATATTATATACATACAAAATCTATATAAATAAAAATGTAATGTTCATTTGTGGGATTAACATAACTCAAAACCCTCTTGGTAAATTGACACGAAATTTGGACACAAGACACCTATCAGGCCAGTGAGTGACCATCACTCATAAAACACTGAAAAACACAGCAAAAGAGACGTAAAAAGCCAAAAAATAAAATATACATTACGACGCATGCACAAAACCACATATATACACAAACACACATATATACACATATACACAAATATATATACACACATATATGCATATATACACACACAAAACACATATACACAGACTGGGCCACAGTAACGAGTGGCAGGGGACAGCTAGTCATTCACAAAAACCCTGAAAAACACAGTGGAAAAGACTTTAAAAGCCAAAAAATAAAATAAAAAACATTACAATGCATGTGCAGAACCACATATATACACACACAAAACACATATACATAGACAGGGCCACAGCAATGCGTGGCAGGGGACAGCTATTATATTATATCACATGGACTTTAGGGAGAAGGTTCCCCTTATTAAGTTAGCCGACTGCACAGGGAACAGCCAGATGGAAAGTCTTGCTTGCCAACTGAATAGTTAATATTTGTGGCTGGGGAGGTTGCTGGATGATAAATAAGGCTAGATTCATGCCTGCCTTATGTGGTTTAGTGCAGAACCAGTCTACTCAGGTGTGAGACCAAGCAAACAAAAGTCAAGGTGTCTACAGGATAAAAAAGATGCAAAAACTATTGCTATTTGAGAGACAAAAGACAGCAATAATGGCCAGCCAGCTTTGAGGTCAGCAGTGTCTTGTGAATCCATAATCACAACTATAGCTTTGATCATGTAACATTGTCCTATGGCTTATCTCTAAGCAATGCTATCAGTATCCACACCCAAAAAAGCAATAAAACCTATTTCACTTGATAACATTTTATCTAGACTTCCAGGCCTCAAGGTCATTTTTAGTCAAAGCTATATTAACATCTTGCTATACATCATTCTTCCAGAACTAGGGTTTTGGTTGTATTGCAGTACAGCTAATGCTTGCACAATATTCCTGCGTCATACACTGAATAATATTTTTTTCTCTAGAAGATGAACCTAAAATTTCTAGATTCTGAAACCTGAACAAAAAATCTTTTACTTTTTGCTCTTTCCTACACATATCAAGCAGTTTCATTTATTTATACAGCGGCGGGCACTAAATTTTATCTGAGCAAAGATCAGCTCAAAGCTTTTTCTCGTAACATGCCCCTGACACAAACATCCTGCTCATGCCATCCTGTACTGTGCAAGGTGTATTGCCTGCATATAGGATTGAAACCCATAAGCACACTCACTTACTAAAGCTTTTAATATTTCTGAAATCACAGCCCACATATGTTTGCAAAGGCAAGAAATTAAGCAAGGGATTGAGTGCATATGAAGTAACCAGTGGATTGTGAGCTGCCACTCATATTCTATATCGCCGACCTATGTGTATATAACTAAGTAATGTCTTCTGGCCCAAGCTCCTCATAGTTAACCTTGAGAGCCAGCGGCCAAATTCCTCAAAAAGGAAAATTTGAGGAATAAACCTAAAGTTAAGGAGGTCTATTTAGCTCCAATTAGGGCATGAGGAGGATATTTTTGCCCCCTCCATTAGTAAGTAAATCCATGATAGGAAATTGCAACAGAACTTCTTGAGGATAACCGTATATACTTGAATATAAGCCGGGTTTTCAGCCCTTTTTTAAGGATGAAAAAACCCTCCACGGCTTATACTCAAGTCAAAGTTATTTATTATTTTACTCTGTTATTATTATTATTATTATTATTATTATTATTATTATTATTACATTTATAATTTTACTCTATTTATTATTATTATATTTATTGTCTTACTCTATTATTATTATATTTATAATTTTACTCTATATTATTACATTTATTATTTTACTCTATTTTTATTATTTACATTATTTTACTCTAGTTATTATATTATTACATTTATTTTTTTACTTCATATTTTTATTACATTATTATTTTACTCTATTATTATTATTATTTACATTATTTTACTCTAGTTATTATTATTATTACATTACATTCTACAATCTTGGCAGCCACCTTGTCACAAAAGTCAACATTGTCCGAATGCCCAATCACCGTCTCCCAAAGCAGTTACTATACTCCCAACTCAAGAGCGGAAAACAGAATGTTGGCGGACAGGAAAAGAGATTTAAAGATGGGCTTAAAGCTAACCGTAAAAACCGTGGCATAGACACTGAGAACTGGGAAGCCCTGGCCTTCTAACTGGAGGTCAGCTGTGACCACCAGTGCTGTGGAATTTGAAGAGGCATGAATAGAGAGGGCAAAGAGGAAGGTGCATCAAGCCAACCCTGACCAGGATCGCCTTTCACCTGGAAACCAATGCCCTCACTGTGGAAGAACATGTGGATCAAGAATAGGGCTTCACAGTCATCTACGTATCCTCCGCCAAGACTTGGAGGGCCATCATCTTCGGACGACGAGGGATCACCTAAGTAAGGAGTATACTTACGCATGTTCACACAGAATAATACTTGTCTCCCTTTCACATTCAGCTCTCATCCTATTTAGAAATTATCTATATATATTTTTACAAGAGATGCATTCTAAGGATGCATTCAATTTAATTCACGTTTCTGTTTCTGTATAGATTATCTCTGGTTTTGTTATTATTGATGTTGAGCTGAAAAAAATGCGTTAATTCTATTCCTTGAAAACCCTAACAAAATCTCTGCTGGGTTTCCACAAACAGATAAGCATCTCCCAGCATTTTCGCTAATTTTTGTGCGTCTATCCGGTGTCAGGTTCTATTACAAGTTGAAGCCCGCAGTGGCGTAATGGGTTAAACCCTTGTGTTGGCAGGACTGCTGACCAAAAGGTTGGCGGTTCGAATCTGCGGAACAAGGTGAGTTCCTGTCTGTCAGCTCCAGCTTCTCATGCAGGGACATGAGAGAAGCCTCCCACAGGATGGTAAAATATTCGGGCGTCCCCTGGGCAACGTCCTTGCAGACAGCCAATTCTCTCACACCAGAAGTGACTTGCAGTTTCTCAAGTCATTCTTTACACGAAAAAAAAAAATCAAAAACAAGATGGCTTACCTGCGTAGGATGAAACTGGGGAGATCTGTAGTGGGTAGAGTTGACTCATACTGCTTGGCTGATCATCACATTCAGTTGTCACTTCCACCACTTGACAAACATCAGGAGGATTGGAAACTATCATATGATCATCAGGACCGACCTCAAAGTGTGCGTCTCCTACAACTTTGAATAAAAGCACATAAGAATAATAAGGATTGTTATATTAATAAAACCTAATATATACATTATTGCTGCCCAGTTTACGGAAGGACTATCACTTCCTTCCTAAATTGGCCAATAATGTAAGTGCATTATCCAGAAGGATGAAACTGCAATCTGTCTTAATTGAAATCAAACTTTCCAATTTTTTTAAACTGAGACTCTGAGAGACATATTACCAAGACTGACTCCCAATATCCAAAATTACAGTGATGAGCCCAACATCACATATGCACTGGGTGCTTTAAAAAAAGATGGAGTGAGGAGGAATATATCTAATTCAAAATTTCTTCCTAATCAAAATCTAAACAGCCTTGTGCAAAGCTACAAGCATGGTTGGGATCTTGTTGTTGTCTTATATTGGCACAAATAAAATTACAATACCAACTGTGGAATTTGTTTCCAAAAGGTAATGTAAAAATAAGGGTTTCCCCTTGATGTTAAGTCTAGTCGTGTCAGACTCTGGAGGTTGGTGCTCATCTCAATTTCTAAGCCGAAGAGTCGGCGTTGTCAGTAGACACCTCCAAGGTCATGTGGCCAGCATGACTGCATGGAGCGCCCTTACCTTCCTGCCGGAGTAGTACCTATTGATCTACTCACATTTGTATGTTTTCTAACTGCTAGGTTAGCAGAAGCTGGGGCTAACAATGGGAGCTCACTCCGTCCCATGGATTCGAACCGCCAACCTTCTGGTCAGCAAGTTTTGCAGCTTACCAAAGCCAAAAAACCCTGAAAAATGAGTTATAGGCGGAAGCACATTGTTGGCTAGGAATATTATGTACAGATAAAAACTGTTAAAATGTAACAAATCACTTTGATACCAAGCTTGGAAAATCACCTTTCATAGCTAAAAGATGCATATCATCAGCACGTTTTTAATTTTCGATTCCTACAAAAGTCTTCAGATGGAATTGGTACCTTTTGGAAACAAACTCCGCAAATGTACCTCTAGGAGGTTGCATTTCTATGAATTTACTGAAGCAGCAAATACAAGGCATGCCTACGCACTTTGTGATTGGCTGTGCTGTGGTGCCTGACCATACAAACCCAGTGACGTATAATTCCAACATAGGCAAGCTGTAGTCCTATTAATAGAGGACTTTAGCCTTAGAAATCATGAAAAAAAATCATTGTGTCTCACTTTCTTCTTTATAGTAAAGGTAAAGGTTTCCCCTGACATTTAGTCTAGTCGTGTCCGGCTCTGGGGGGGTAGTGCTCATCTCCATTTCTAAGCCAAAGAGCCGGCGTTGTCCGTAGACGTCTCCTTGGACATGTGGCCGGCACCGTTACCTTCCTGCAGAAGCGGTACCTATTGAGCTACTCACATTTGCATGTTTTTTAACTGCTAGGTTGACAGAAGCTGGGGCTAACAGCAGGAGCTCATGCTGCTTCAAGGATTCAAACCGCCAACCTTTTGGTCAGCAAGTCCAAAAGCTCAGCGATTTAACCCGTGGCACCACCAGGGTTAAATATTGTTAATTTCTAATATTCTAATTTTTCCTAGTGATTTAGGGGCCAGATCCAGGTTTATATTTAGGAAGTGACATAAAATTAGCCAGAGCCAAGTTGGCCCTCTGATTCTGAGCCTAAACACAAACTAGTCTGGTTCCATCTCAAAGTTTGCTATGCTTATAGATAATAATGTGAAGAGAAGTAGTTAAATCTGCGGCATGCAAATAGTTTCTATCAGGGCTCCCAGCCTATTGTTGTAATGTCATCATGTTACTGACAATATAGAGACACAGAGCTTGAAAGACCAAAGCGAGTGCTGTCGACACTTGCCAACCATGAAAAGGAGTGTGCTGGAACTGCTTACCTACAATGTTTATTGTACTGTCGACTTCAGATTTTATTGTGGAAGATAAGCAGAAATCAGAAAATGGTTGACTTGTCCCATTACTCAGTTCGTAAGACGACTCCTCTGGTTCTTGCTAGAAAATAAACAAGGGGAAACTATGACCACTTTCTCCTTTCTTAGTCCTGTTCCTGCCTTTAATGTCTCCTATGCTGTAACTACAAGCATGGGCAAACTTTGACCCTACAGATGTTTTGGACTTCATCTCCCACAATTCCTAACAGCTGGCTGTAAGGAATTGTGAGAGTTGAAGTCCAAAAAACCTGGAGGGCCACAGTTTGCCCATGTCTGTAGCTAGATCTTACATTTCTCTTATTACCAGTACTGAGAAGGCAACCCAGCCCAGCTTTGTTTATAAATCTCACATGTATACATAAAAGCAAGGCATGCCATTTATATAATGTCTTCCAAGAAAAGTTAATGAAAGATTAACATCAGGTGTTAAAAAAGGTGAAGAATTGTCATAATGTTTCTTTTTATTAAATCCTTACCACAGATTTCCAACAACGCAAAGGCCCCTTTCCACACAGTTGAAAAAAATCCCAAATTATCTGCTTTGAACTGGATTATATGGCAGTGTGGACTCAAAGCAGATATTGTAGGATTTTCTGCCTTCATATTCTGGGTTATATGGCTGTGTGGAAGGGCCCAGAAATTATTCACAATGAGATCACATCCCATCAAGACTACAAATCTTCTTGGGCAGAAGTTTATTACAAAAACCTTGTACTCACATGGAGTCTTTTGATGGTACATATCCTTCCAGAAAACAAAATGCATACCCAACTACCAGCTAAGATGACTTTGGGCCCTGTTTAGGTAAAAATGTTTGTTTTCTGCTTCAGTGTCTAATTTGTTTAGCTCTTCTGTTCCACATTTGGAAAGAAATGGAAAAGACTAAAATTAAAGCTAACTTCATTTATTATCCCCACCAACTAAGAGGTGGTTCTCATTTCTAGTACATGATATATGGCAATTCTGTGAAAATGTGCTACTAAGCAAAACCAAGCACTTTAAGAATTTCAGTTTTCATTTTTTTAAGTGATTTGCTTATTAGTTTTACACAAAAACAAAACAAAACATTATTGTTCTAGTAAAGGTAAAGGTTTCCCCTTGACATTAAGCCTAGTCATGTCTGACTCTGGGGAGTGGTTCTCATCTCCAGTTCTAAGCCAAAGAGCCGGCGTTGTCCGCAGATGCCACCAAGGTCATTTGGCTGGCATGACTGCATGGAGCGCTGTTACCTTCCAACTGGAGTAGTACCTATTGATCTATTCACATTTGCATGCTTTCGAACTGCTAGGTCGGCAGAAGCTGGGGCCAACAGCAGTAGCTCACCCTGATCCTCGGATTTGAACCGCCAACCTTTGGGTCAGCAAGTTCAGCAACTCAGCTGTTTAACCCACTGTGCCACCAGAGGCTCTAATTCTAGTTCAAGAGCCTTCATATTACCCAGGGCACCAAACAGTTAAAAGGCCCCTAAAGCAAAAACAAAACAAAACAAAACAAAACAAACCCCCTGTATAATAAAAAAAGATATGAGTGCAGAAGATAAAACAGAGCCATTAGATAAAAGCATATCTATCCAGTAAAGCCAATGCGAGAAAGCTTTTTGCCACATGGCAGAACACCATATCAGTTTTCCAACCCTTGAAAGTATGCAGGCAATTGGATGAGATGAAGAAGATGCAAAAGGGCCTAAATACCCTGAAGGCACCAGATTCTGTCTGGTCTTGGAAACAAAGTAGGTCTTTGCACGAAAAATAAGAAGAATTACCTTAATTAATTTCACCTTGTCTTCCTTGTCTGATTTGGGTTTCTTTCCTGTAGACATGGAAGAAAATGATTTCCTTTTAGATTGGCCAAATGCGCTTAACATATAAAACAAACATCTCCAAATATGAGACAATAGTTGATTATAATAATTATATCATTATTACTTGAAGGAATCTGACAATTCAAACTGAAATTAATAAAAACTCTACAGTAGCAATGTTCACTATTAACCTTGTTAAGCCCACTTCTTTGCTTCTGGTGTGAGAGAATTGGCCGTCTGCAAGGACCTTGCCCAGGGGACGCCCGGATGATTTGATGTTTTTATCATCCTTGTGGGAGGCTTCTCTCATGTCCCCGCATGAGGAGCTGGAGCTGATAGAGGGAGCTCATCCGCCTCTCCCCGGATTCGAACCTGTGACCTGTCACTCTTCAGTCCTGCCGGCACAGGGGTTTAACCCACTGCGCCACCAGGGGCTCCATGAATAAAGCACTAAGTGGTGCTCAGCCTGTGGGTCCCCAGGTGTTTTGGCCTTCAACTCCCAGAAATCCCAGCCAGTTTCCCAGCTGTTAGGATTTCTGGGAGTTGAAGTCCAAAACATCTGAGGACCCAGGGGTTGAAAACCACTGCACTAAGGGGAACTGTCCCAGTAAATAATAATAATAATGAGGAGGAGGAGAGGGGGGGGGGGCGGCGGCTCTGGCGGCTCTGGCATAAACCAGTACAGATAGTCCCAGTGGTCATCAGCACATTGGGTCCAGTGCCAAAAGATCTCAGCTGGCATTTGGAAACAATAAACATTGACAAAATCGCAATCTTTCAACTGCAAAAGGCCACCTTACTAGGATCTGCATGCATCATTTGAAAATACATCACACAATCCTAGATGCTTGGGAAGTGTTCGATTTGTAGTTTTGCAATACGAAATCCAGCATATAGATCTCATTTGCTGTGACATACTCTGTTTTTGTGTCAGTAAAATAATGATGATGATGATGATGATGATGATGATGATAATGATACATTTTATTTGTGACCTGCCTCTTCTAATGTCTCGAGGCAGAGTACAACCAAGTCAAAATATATGGGCATAGAAAACATACAACCAATCATGCATATGTATTTGTTGTTGCCTTTGGTCCACAAAAAAAAAAAATCCTCTCTGAATTGAAATGGAAAGAATTAAATACACAGGATTAAAACTATCTAGCAAATCACAGTTTTCTATGAATTTCATTCCCTTGGCACAAAAGAACACCAGCCAATATATATGCCAAAACATTGGCCTGCCTTGCCTATTGTTTTCTCTGCTGACTGATGAGTTGCTCCACTTTGGGCTGAATTCTTTTCACACTGAATATTAATCTAATGTTTTTCTGAAGAGGGGTATGCCAGAAATAGAACCTGGGACCACCCTCATGCAGACCATATGCCCAACCATTGAGCCATGTCTCCTCATTTGTTCTAAAACAGTTCCTCTTTGTTTGTAAGTAGAGAAGAAGTGAAAAGAAGCATGTTATGGTGTCACATGGAGCCCTTGGTGGGAGGAAAAGATGGGGTTAATGCCCATCACCTTTCAGCTGACATCAACTGCCTTTTGGCCAAGCATGAAATGATGCAATGCATTATTACTAGGGGCAATTCCGCAGACCATGTGTGGCTGCCACCAAAGGAAATAGATGTGGACGCATCTGTACCACAACCATTCTATACACCAGTGGTTCCCAACCTTTTTTTTTTTGACCAAGGACCACTTTGACCAGGGACCACTCTCCAACATTAGTACCAAAAGAGTTACAAATCAGTTTTTGGTCAACTTTAGATTTGATTTGGTTATTTGGGGTGCTGATTCAGAAAATCCATTGAATAGACCACATCAGCTCTAGTTTTTGATACAGAACATATGCTATCCAGTAGTCACCATCAGCTCACCCACAGAAAACCATATGTAACAGTCTAGAGCTTATGCAGTGGTAGTAATCTTTTGTGGATAGTCAGCCTCTCCCCTCTCAACATCCCCATTGCCTCGGCACTTTAAGAGAGTTTTGTAAGACCAGTCGCTCTCGTTGCCACGTGGTTTCGAGGCAACAGTGTAGTAATGGTGAGGCTGAAGACCATATTTTCATTCTTGGAGATCACTGGTGGTTCACGGACTACAGGTTGGGAACCACTGCTTTACACAATATGATCAGCAATGCATGATTATTACATGATTCTCTAATTTTCGGAATGGAAACATTTATAACTAAATCATTGGCTAAGTCCACAATACTCCTCCCACTTTACCTTTTTTAGGCCTCTCAGATAATGGCAACATTCGGTATACCCTGAAGGCGTTGTTTCCTTTCTTTATGCTTTTGTCTTTGACTTCTTCAATATCAGGCAAGGAGTTCATTGCACACCGGAAATTTGCCTTCCACGTCTTTGGATCTGCTTTATCAACTCCTGGCTGGTACTTTCCTAGAGAAAAAATTGATTCGATGCCCAATACATCATAAAACATTTCAAAGCATGAACACGTAATATAAAACCATAACAATAGTATTAAAAACATGCATCAATTACATCTCCTAATATTTATTTATTTTATTTATTTAAAACACTTATATTCCGTCCTTCTCACCCTGAAGGGGACTCAGAGCGGAGCACAACATATACATGGCAAACATTCAATGCCTGGATACAATACATAAACGTTAAAAAACATTTATCTAAATATTAAAATACACCATTTAAAATAACACAATTTAAACCGTCCTAGCCATCCGCATCAAATCCAATTGGCCCTGTCATCTTTCCCATTGTCGCTTCATTGCCCTGTCCCGAAAGCTTGGTCCCACAGTCAAGTTTTTACCATCCTTCCAAAGGACAGGAGGGAGGGGGCCGACCTGATCTCACAAGGAAGGGAGTTCCATAGCCAGGGAGCAATC